TATATATATATATATACACACACACACACACACTAGCGTGAGTAGTATATATGTATATAAAGAAAACAATTTTTGTTTACTTTGTATTAAGCTGATAGTGTATCTTTTTCCTACCAGTATTAATGCTAGATGTATAAACTTCTTTCTATTCAGAATTATTATTAAAAAAATTGCTCCAAAGCAGTTTTACGGAGTTTAAAGCATATAAGATAAAAGATTATAGTAAGCTTAAAAAATATATATCATGTCTCAAAGCTAGAGAAATCAACATTTAGATTAAAAATTCACAAAAAAAATTTTTTTCCTTTTTTAAGATTTGTTTTATTCCTTACTGTCAATAACTGCGACTTTGTGATTAATCTAATTATTATAATATAAAATTTCATACACTACCGTTTAAAAGTTTAGGGTCAACAAAAAAATAAAAATAAAAAATTCAGCAATGAAGCATTAAATTGATCAAAACTGACAAGACATTTAAAATATTACAAAAGATTTCTATTTTAAATAAAAGCTGTTCTTTTAAATATTCTATTCATCAAAGAATCCTGAATATTCAAACATTGATAATATTAAGAAATGTTTCTTGAACATATTAGAATGATTTCTGAAGGATCATGTGACACTGAAGACTAGAGTAATGATGCTGAAAATTCAGCTTTGTCATCAGAGGAATAAATTCCATTTGAAAATACATTAAAATAAAAAAAGTTATTTTAAATAATAATAAAATTCCCAATATTACAGTTTTTACTGTAAAATATTTATAGACTCCGAACACAGTTGACATGCCATCAGTGTGAAAGCACAACGTGAGAGTCAGCTTTTGTGGTTACGCTACAGTTTTTCTAACTCGCTGCTCATATGTGAGTGAAACAGGCCTTAACACCGCAGAAATTTTCAAGAATTATTACAGAACTGAATGTGTATAAATCACTGTAGCCACTTTTATGTCTGTACAAACACAGCAGATGTGTGTCTGTTTGTGTGTTGCAAAAAAACATGCCATGCTGGTCTCTGACAAACTTGACTCTTGAGTTTAATGAGTAAGAACAGGCCCACAGCATTCTAGCGTTACTCAACATCTACTGCCTGCCAAACAAGATTTCACAAGAACCACCAGCAAAAGATACAGTCTCACTCAGTCTCACAATAGCACGACAACACTGAAGAAACAAACTCACGTAGAACATGACAGCTGGATAACGACATCGAAAAATGGAGACCTTGTGGTCATGATGACATCGCAATAAGTAACCGCTGATTACGTTATATTTTTTTAGGAAGCTGCAGTTGTGAAGCTGTAACTCTCTGCTTCATAATGATATAGGCAAATAAACCGTGAAAGGTCAGTGAGACAGATAAAGTGTGAGATTCTGTCTTTAGGGTTTTAGGTGAAAGGAAAACCTCCTGATTCTGTGCCTTTAGGGTTTTAGGTGTGGCTCAACCAGCGACAGCAGAAATTCATTTAAGACTAAATGTAGGACAGACAAGTTCAGACACGATGATCTTTCTAACACACGCCGAATCTTTTCTTGTGTGTGTGGCAGGTCTGCTTGTGTCAGGCAGAAATAGTTTACCCAGAAATCACATATCGTCCAAAATCTTTTCTTGTGTGTGTATGTGTGTGTGGCAGGTCTGCTTGTGTCAGGCAGAAATAGTTTACCCAGAAATCACATATCGTCCATTTATTCACCCTCATGTTCCAAACCCGTATGACTTTCTTCCACATAACAGAAAAAGAAAACATAAGGTAGAATGTTTACGCTGCTCTCTTCCACAAAATCTAAATGAATGTCAACAGATGCTGTTCAGCTTCAAATATGATAAAAATACACCCCAAAAGTATCACAAAAGAAGGTAAAATGCCTTGTGGACTGTATTCGTATGTTTGTGCGATGACCAGACTGAAATTAAAGTCCTCTCAATGGTAGCTTTTTTTTAAAGAATTCTCTTATGCTCACCAAGGCTGCATTTATTTAATAAAAAAATACAGTAACAGTAATATTGTGACAAATTATTACGATTTGAAAATAACTGTTTTTTATTTTAATATATTTTAAAATTTCATTTACACTTGTGTAGAACTATTTTGTAGAATTATAAATGTCTTTGCTGTCACTTTTGATTAATTTAATGTGTCCTTTCTGAATAAAAGTATTAATTTCTTTGAAAAAAAAGCATATGTGAGAACCAGCGGTGTCAAAAATGAGACTGGAGAGCTACAGTGAAGGGAAAGATTTTCAATAAACACCAACATTATTTGTCAGTTAACGTGGAATATAATACACAATTCATATGGATTACTTTTATAGTCATTTAAATCCAACCATCCCCATTCATTTTTACAGTAGTATGAAAAAAGCAGAGTAAACATCTCTTTTTGTGATCCATTAAAGAAAGACAGTCATAAAGGTTTAGAACAACATAATGATGAGTAAATTATGACAAGAGGTTACTCCTAGAATTTACTAAATAATATTTTTGATGAATAATCTTTTCTGTTTAGTTTGTTCTGATGCTCAATATGTTTATTATAACGTTTGTATAAGAGTAACAACTAACCTTAATGACCTTCTCCACCCCCGAGGAGCAGATCATGTACGTGTGAGGGTTAAAGCGGACCTGATTCACGATGGACCGATGACCTTTCAGAACCAAAAAAGCCCCGTTCACCACTCGACCCGGACCTCCTGACGAGACGGAGAGAGAATGAGTCCATAAATAATAATAACATCAGACACGGTTAGCCTGTGCATGAGTGACTGTGTTTACCTGCTTCAGGGTCACTGGGGATTCTCCACATGTAAAGGTTAAAATCATCTGAGCCAGACAAGATGTACTGAAAAGACATAAATATATATTATTACACACACACACACACTAACCAATTATGTCACAGAGTTCTAGAGAAATATGACACGGTCTGCAAAGAGAAGTTTCAAGAACTATATAATTTTTTTTTACATATACCACCATTCAAATATTTAGAGATTTTTTTTAAAGAATTACTTATGACCACAGAGGAAAGTAGGTTATTATAAAAGATCATTATTCAGGTTCGTGTTATTTCAGGAGATCATGTCTGCAGTGACCAAACTCTGAACATCTTTACACAAGCTCTGCTGTCCTCTGCTGGTCTCAGGCAGTAGAGCAGACAGCTATGATGATAAAGCTGGCCTTGTCAGCTAGATTGCAGCCCATATTTGGGCCGAAGCAAGCGTTCAAGCTTTTACTGGACATAGTTCAGCAACCCTTTTTGCTTATAAACACAGTTCTCTGTAACACTTGATTCTGATTAACCAATTGCAGCCAGACACACTTGTATAATGACACTAAACTGTTTATTTGAACAATGTCCATGGCAGCTAACTGTTACTTTCATATTCCTCATGGCCCTCTGCAGTCTCTGCAGTTGCTTTTTTCACACACAAAAAAACACTTTCAACTCAAATTAATATTTAATGTCCATTTATTTATATATTTGGTAAGCAGCTGTGCAATAAGCAGGAAAAGGTACCGTTAACAAGTTAGTACCTGAAAAAAAAACAGTTTGGGTTCAGTAAGATTTTTTTATGTTTTTTTTAGTCTTATATGCTCACAAAGGATGCATTTAATCAAAAATACTGTAAAAAATTGTAATAATGTGAAATATTACTACAATTTAAAACAACTATTTACACAATGGGTGGCCAACTTCAATTCTGGACAGCCACAGTCCTGCAGAGTTTTGCTCCAATCTTGATAAAAACTCTGAACACACTGAATTAAAGTGACAGCGCATTTTTCGCAGTAAAAATTAATATGGATTGACACGTAAATGTAGTAATTTCACAATAAATGAATATAATTGAAGTCTACAGTGTTTCACAGTCAACACATGGCTTTTTGGCTAGGTTTAAAACAAGGAAAATAGCACTTTTGAATAAACAAGGCAACATAATAGATGCACATGTGGAGGTAGGAAAACAAAGTTCTTTAAGATTTAAATGCAAAAGAAAAGGCATGAGAGCAGACTGTTTCTGTCAGTGGTATGTTTTAAATTAATATTTTTGTGATAGCCTACTTTTAACGTGAGAAAAGTAGGCTATAGGCTGTGTTTAAATGTTTTGCCACTTGCTTGAGCAACTTAACATATAAATCTAGAAGTCAAATGCATTAAATAATAAAAAAATACAGTAACAGTAATATTGTGACAAATTATTACGATTTGAAAATAACTTTTTTATTTTAATATATTTTAAAATTTCATTTACACTTGTGTAGAACTATTTTGTAGAATTATAAATGTCTTTGCTGTCACTTTTGATTAATTTAATGTGTCCTTTCTGAATAAAAGTATTAATTTCTTTGAAAAAAAAGCATATGTGAGAACCAGCGGTGTCAAAAATGAGACTGGAGAGCTACAGTGAAGGGAAAGATTTTCAATAAACACCAACATTATTTGTCAGTTAACGTGGAATATAATACACAATTCATATGGATTACTTTTATAGTCATTTAAATCCAACCATCCCCATTCATTTTTACAGTAGTATGAAAAAAGCAGAGTAAACATCTCTTTTTGTGATCCATTAAAGAAAGACAGTCATAAAGGTTTAGAACAACATAATGATGAGTAAATTATGACAAGAGGTTACTCCTAGAATTTACTAAATAATATTTTTGATGAATAATCTTTTCTGTTTAGTTTGTTCTGATGCTCAATATGTTTATTATAACGTTTGTATAAGAGTAACAACTAACCTTAATGACCTTCTCCACCCCCGAGGAGCAGATCATGTACGTGTGAGGGTTAAAGCGGACCTGATTCACGATGGACCGATGACCTTTCAGAACCAAAAAAGCCCCGTTCACCACTCGACCCGGACCTCCTGACGAGACGGAGAGAGAATGAGTCCATAAATAATAATAACATCAGACACGGTTAGCCTGTGCATGAGTGACTGTGTTTACCTGCTTCAGGGTCACTGGGGATTCTCCACATGTAAAGGTTAAAATCATCTGAGCCAGACAAGATGTACTGAAAAGACATAAATATATATTATTACACACACACACACACACTAACCAATTATGTCACAGAGTTCTAGAGAAATATGACACGGTCTGCAAAGAGAAGTTTCAAGAACTATATAATTTTTTTTTACATATACCACCATTCAAATATTTAGAGATTTTTTTTAAAGAATTACTTATGGTTAAATTGATTAAAAGTGAAAGTAAATGCATTTATAATCTTTACAAAATATTTTTATTTAAAATAAATGTGGTGTTGTTCTAAATAAAGGTTCTTGAAACATTCTATTCACCAAAGAATCCTGAATAAAATGTATCAGTTTCCACAAAAAAAATTTTTTTTTAAAGAAATGAATAGTTTTATTCTGTAAGGATGCATTAAATTGATCAAAAGTGACAGCAAAGAGCTTTATATTGTAAAATAAATAAGGACCTTCTATTAAAATCAAAGGTTTCTACAATCACAATTTGCACAAAAATATTAAGTAGCACAACTGTTTTCACCATTGATAATAATAATGAATGTTTCTTAAGCACCAAATCACCATCTTAGAATGACTTCTTTAGGATCATGTGACACTGAAGACTGGAGTAATGGCTGCTGAAAATTCAGCTTTGGCACAAATGCATTAAATAATATATTGTTTATATTTATTGTGTTTAAATGTGCCAATGTCGAAAAAAGATTGTATTACTGTACTGTGTAAAAAAAAAAAAGAATCACAACGCTGAAAAAGCATTTTGGATTTGAAATTAAAATAATGGATAAATGTTGTGTTTGTGGTTTAGTAGCAGACTAACCACCCCTGATTTACATACTAGTGCTTATTTTTCAAATTTCAAACTCATACCCTAAAAGTAGATTTATTAACACAGTATTTATGGTGTTCTATCATAAGTGAAAGTGCTGAGATTAGAGTGATAGAGTGATGGAATGTGATAGACTGTGACAGAATGTGTGTGAGTTTTTCAGACAGATCTCCGTCTCACCTGCGGGGTTTGCGGATGTCCCACAGTCCCACCCCCTCTTTAGAGTTTGCAGTGGCCAGCAGACGGGGTTCTACTGGGTTAAACATTACGCTGTGGAACGCTGAGGGGTAGTTGGCCAAGCAGAACGGTTCTAGAACACACAACAGAATTAGAGTAACACCGGATCTATAACAGTTCAGAATTTAGATGAAACAAAGATTCTAGAATACACACAAAAAAATCCTAAAATGTATTATGGTTTCCACAAAAATATTAGGCAGCACAACCTGTTGTGTTTCTTGAGCACCAAATTAGCATATAAGAATGATTTCTGAAGGATCTTGTGACACTGAAGTGATTTCTGTGATTCATTAAAAAAGGGGGCCATATTAAAAACCAAGAAATTCAACTATTGAATATGTACCTCCATGTGGCGGTTCTCTTGTGTCCCATATGAGAACTCGGCCGTCATCAGATGAGCTGGCGAAGACGTTATCATTAACAGGACTGACGGACAGACCATACACAGCATCATCATGCAAAAAGACATTGAGCGTCTCGCCACGTTCTACGTCGTGCAGAATCACCTGCTCATCATTTCCTGCAGCGACAGACCGAAACATTAAACATTTGATCTCCCCTCTGTTTCAGCTGCAGCATCACAACCTGAGCAGCTGAGCAGTTTTACCTCCTGAGAAAACACGTTTGTTGGTGCTGTCAAATGCCAGGCAGAAGATGTTGGACAGGTGCTCCCCCTTCAACTTGATCGGTTTGGCTCGTGAGTGTATTGCTTTCTCCATGTGCCACAGCAGCACCCTGCGGTCATCTCCACCTACAACACAAGACATATTAATAGATTCACCAGAGAAATGTTTCAGTATCACTCTCCTGAGGGTATGAAAGTAAGGTTATATGTGCACAATCTGGCTGGTTTACAGACACCAAAGAAGAGTTTGGGAGGCTTGTTCTCAACAGAAGTTCAGAAATTCATGGTCGTGATAACAAAAACATCATGTAGCCCTCTCATACTCCTGCTCTGATTTACTACAAAAGGTGTTTTATTCTCAGCTGGTGCAAATATCTAAATGTGATAAAGTTCTGCTCAGTGAATTCATCAAGAGTTGAGCTTTTTACGGTTATAAATAAATATAGAGCTACTTTAATCTTTACTCTCATTGTTCATTTTTTATTTTATTTGATATTGTTTGTAAAATAAGGCACAGATCTGGAGACTTGCAAAAAAGCAATGTGCTGTAAGTGACAAATTTGAATGGCAAATCTGATCTATAAACTATGTCCGTAAATAAAATTCTGAGCCAACTGGAAAATACACATTTGTATCTAATGAAAGAGATTCAGGTGACTGCCTTGTGTTACAACAGTGACAAGTTTCCATATGCCATTTTAATCTTAAGAAATTAATACTGTTTATTCATTAAGGATGCATTAAATTGATAAAACCGGACCATTACAAAAGATCTCTATTTCAAATAAATGCTGTTCTTTTAAGCTTTCTATTCATCAAGGCATCTTGAAATAAGATATCACGGTTTACACAAAAAACTGTTTTCAACATTGTTAATCATAAGAAAAATATCAGCATATAACAATGATGTCTGATGGATTATTATTATTATTATGTGACACTGAAGATTGGAGCTTAGCATTACAGTAATAAATTACATTTTAAAAATTGGAAATTAGAAAAAAGTTATTTGAAATTGCAATATTTTACAATATCAATGTTTTTACTTTTTATTAAATGACTTGGTGAGCATAAGAGACTTCTTTCAAAAACATTAAACAATTCTTACCAACCCCAAACTTATGAACAGTAGTTCTATTCTATTATTGTGAGACTATACAGATTGACATGTTTGTTGCCATGCAAACCATTAAAGATGTTGACAGCAACCTACTGCTGTTTTAGTGTCATCTGTTGTACAAAATGAAACTGACATTTCAGGGTTTTGCAGTTAGTTTCACAGTGAAACTAAGGGTAAGTTAATCTACATTTCTGTACAAAACCTGTGTAAAGAAAAAAATATACATTCTCTCTTCAAAATCTTCTCTTGAAGTGTTTTGACCCATGGATTTACATGACTTCTCTAGTCATTACTGGAGTTAAAAAAATATTTTAAACAGAATGAAATTAGAGGTACTTTCTAGCTGATAAAATACTTTAAAGTCAAGCATTGCTAGAAAACTTTTCCAGGCCTTGAAACCACAATTTTAAAATGGTCTGATATTGGGAACCCTCCACATTCACCACACTGTACATGCCTAATGTAAAGACTGAAAATATGCAAGTGCAAAAGCATACAAAGGACTTGAGCAGGAAAGAATGTGTGAAGCCAAAAGAATCAGTAACAGCTGCAACCAATTAATGAGTCAGCAAGAAAAAGAGTCCGACTGAAACTATTGAGGCCCTTCTACAGTCTGAACCACCTACAAAGGTGCATTCACTTAGTTTCGTTTAGGTTTATCTGGCTCTCATTTGTACTAATAGTAGGCTACTAGTGATAAAGGCTTCATACTGACTTCAGCCTGGATGGATGAAGTTTGCGAACAAGTTAATTTACATTTTTTGGATGCAATTCTAACAAGTTGCAGCGACTATCTTGGACAGGCATTTTTTTTCAGTGTGGTGACTATGACGGTGTTTGCAGTTAGTGTTTAATGTCTTGCCATTTATCTATGAACTATGGCATGGTAGATGTTTTTATTGTTTATTATAACAGACTAAACTTAGTATACTATCAGTAACTTTCGTGTTTTGCAATAAGGCAGGTCACGTGATGTAAACATGGTTACGCCCATAAAGGGGCGACCCACTTCATGCAGAATAAAAAAAAGCTTTTTCTAGAAGACTGATCTTCATCTCATGTGGATGTGCATTATGTAATCTAATATCATTTTAAATGACATTGCGTTTCTTTGTGTAAAAACTTTTTTTTTTACTGAGTGCACCCTTAACATCTTTATATATCACTGACAGAAAGACTGAAACCTGATTTATTTTTTATTTTTTTGGCAATGCCCAGAAAAATAAAACATGCATGCACAATCTGACAAACTGAAGATGTCAAAGCAATCCTGTCAATGCATGTTTTATTCTGCATGCCTGTTCTCTACTCCTGTCCGTCTTTCTCTCGCTGCCCCACATCAGTAAGATCAGCGTGCAGGACCGGAGGATCTTACCGGACACCAGCCACTGGCCTCCATTGTTGGAGAACTCAATGGCGTTGACGCAGCCGAAGTGGCCGAGCATGTCCTTCTTATAGAGGCTGGAGCAGCCGGCCAGTCTGCGCCTCTGGAAGTCCTCCTTCAGCCGCGGCTGTCCGCCGATCGTCCTGCGGGAAAGGAACCCGACGGCGCTCCGCACGCCGCAGCCCCGCACTTCCTTCATCTCTCCTCCGGTAAAGTCTCAACGCCACCGCTAGAGTGTCCCAGCCGTCATGGGTTTGAGCTCAGGTATGATTCGGTGGATTCTGCTTCGGCTGGAGGATGTACCGTTACATGTTTGCTCAGTAAAGCATGAAAGTGCGCAGCAAAAACAGAAGGTTGTTTAGAGTCCCACCGACCGCCGGCACTTCCTGCTCCGGTGCAAGGGTGATGACGTCACAAGAGCGGATCACTGACTCCGAACCAGAACCGCTGCTGTACTTTCTGATTGAATGTTATGTAATATGCTTCGGTTTATATAATTTGTGAACACTTGTGCCTCTGTAATCTGTGTTGCTTTTAATGCAGTGCTTGATTTTTTGAATGTTTTATTGTTATTAAAAAGTGAACCAGTATGCTGTATGTGTGTCTATTTAAGTAGTTCTTTGTTTATATAGAAGTTAAATATGTTATTTGTTAAATATGTATTCGGGTTAATTGGGACATTTTGTTCCAGGCATCTCAATGGAACAAGTGCACCAATTTACCTGGCTTTACACCCGAGAAATTAGACAACACAAATGCTGCATTAAAAAAAAAAACTTTCTCGTTAATAAAAGTTTACTTTATCTAGTTAACAATATAATATTTAAAGTAAATTAGAAATAGAAACCATATTAAAATAAGCTATTTATACAATATTGTATTATTGTAAGGACTTATTTAAAAAAAACTGGAAGATAATAAAAATAAACCTTTTTACACTTTGCGTAAAAACATTTTTTTTACTTTACAGTGATTTATTTAAATTAAATATTATATCCTCCTGAGACCCAGCTATGGAGTTTTTGCCTCTGTAGTGGACATTATATTTGAGTGAATTTCTCTGAGACCTCACATGTCACAGTTTTAAGTCTGGAGTCCTGTACAGAGCACATTTAGGACTTTCCAGAGATACCAAATGATTGGATGTTTCCCCGAGAACACTCCCTCTCCTTGGTTTTTAAAAATGGCTGACATTAATTTAGTGATACAATTGTACATTCTTATGGAAATATGATAATATTTTGTAATTATAATTTAAATCTGATTCATTTTCAAATTGTTTGTCATAAATCACCATCTCAGGAAAATGTTATGGGGTTTCAAATCATTATTTAGATTCAAAAGATTTATATTTAACTTTTACACTCAGATATTAATAATGTAACATTTTTAACATTTAAAATAAATAAAATGAAACATGTAAATAGAAACAACATTAAATTACTTATATTTTGTCATTAGACTTTATTAAAATGCAAAAAAGTAACAATAATAAACCTCTTTACTCTTCATAAGTTTACTCTCATACCAAAAAAATAAAAATTTTCTTATGTTATCACTATAGAGAGAGATATAGATGTAAAAATCACTGCTAAATTATAAATTACATATTAAATTATTCAGATCCCGATTCAAAAGATTCCTATTTAATTGTTACATTCAGATTCAAATTTTACATCATGTTAAATGAAACATTCAAAAACTTTTGGCATTCTTTTGGCATCTTGTGATTCACAGAAAATATTAGCAGAGTTAAAAGACTCTAAGTGATGTGCAAATATCGAATACCCAATTTTTTAATATTCACTCAACAAGCATAAAAATGACAAGCAGGGACCAAAACAAATCTTAGTGTGTGTAGTTTTATTAAATTCCAGTAAGGAATTACAGTGGTAGTATTTTTTTCAACAGTTTTTCTTACAAATACAAATGTATCTGAGTAATCCTCCATAACTGGAGCAGAACTTTTAAATTAAAAAGCTAAACGTTTTTTCAATTATATTTGTAATAAAAGACAAAACAAAACTAATACTAGTGGCAGGTATACATTTAAACAGCAAACAGACAGTTCTTTAGCACAGCTTTAATTATAAGCTGACATCATCGGCACAGCTCCTTACATACTGTGTATGATAAATTATGAACCTTTTTACAGTCTGGACAAGCATGAAATATTTCCATCAAATCGCACCAAAACCTCTGCTGACCAGAAATAGAACAACACTGACATCATTGCACATGTTTGCCACTTGCTTGCATTAATCGTGACAAGTGCGAGTCTGTGAGTTAAATTATGGGATGGTTCCCTCGGGGTTGGATTTGTTTGTTCTGACATATTTTGGCTTTCTTAGGAGCAAGTGAGGCACAATATAATTTGATTTAAAACGACTCTATAGGAGTAACGAGGATTAAACAATCTCACCGTCTCGCAAAGCAGAGACTAAGAGATAGTTCAGAGCCTCGCTAAAGGCCTTAGGAAAAAGGCATGTCTAATACCTTTATAACACCGAGTCATTAGCATCTACACGTGTTCATGTCACCTACAGGCAGGTATACTGTATGCACACAGGCTGTGGAACACTGTAATTCTTATGCTACATTTAGGGAGATTAAAATATAGTGACATATGTAGCTTGTTTGATTAGTGTTCATGAAACATCTACAGGTCATATTTCACCCCAAAATCAGAAGTTTTTCTGAATTGTGACAAATAAGTCTCATTACTCTAATGTTTGGATGTTTTGCTGCTCAGTATTCTCAAAGGTCATTCTCATTAGATTTTTTCCAACACTTTCCAATAAGGTTCAATTTGTTAATGTTAGTTAATGCATTTGGTCTCATGAACAATATTTTTTTAATGTTTATTAATCTAGGTTAATGTTAATTTATAATCATATTGTTATTCACTGGTAATTCATAATACATTAATGTTAAATTATGCAACTTAAAATAATAAAAAAAATGTATATGGAAATTAACCAAGATTAATAAACGTATAAATATATTGTTCTTTTTTTTTTTTAAACAAACAAAGGTAGTACAACAAATATTACCATGCTGTGTAAATATTTTAAATTATCATTAAAATGTCATAATGCAAAAACAAAAATATATAAATAACATGTCCTAAAAATATGCTGTATTTCCCTTGTAACAAAATATTAACTTCTTTTCTTTCGATTTTGGGGTTAAGTATGACCTGGACATCGCTGCTCTAAAAATTCTCCATGTTTTAGGCACATTATTCTAAATCCATTACAGCATCTGGGGGAAACTGGACATCTCACAAGAAAACATCCTCAAACAAGCACAACGTACATTTCATTCTAGGAAACATTTACATTAAAAAAAGATTTTAAAGAGTGCAGCACACAGGTTTTACACTGGTCCATCTAATGTAGACACAGACACTCAGTCCAGTGTCTGTCTCCAAAGTTCCCACAAAGCTTTGCTGCAGTTTTTAGCTGGAGTGAACAGCGCTGTGCACCACAGGAAGCATTATATAACAAAAACACAATCTAGTAATGTTTTAAAAGTGCTTTAGCGTTCAGTACCTTCAGTGAATACATTCTCTCACACACACAAATCTACAAAGTAAATCACATATGACAAGGTGGAGACTGCAACACAAACACACAATAAACCTTCGAGAGACTATCTGACCTCGCTGAGGTTATAGAGCGAGAGAGATGGAGAAAACGCTTTAGCTGTCTTCAGGATAAAGCCAAGCCATCTGGAAAATCCATCCGAAGCAAAATCCATTCCAGATTTTGTCCTTTTAATATAACAAAAGCACAGTTCCTAGGCCTTAGGAAAAAGGCATGTCTAATACCTTTATAACACCGAGTCATTAGCATCTACACGTGTTCATGTCACCTACAGGCAGGTATACTGTATGCACACAGGCTGTGGAACACTGTAATTCTTATGCTACATTTAGGGAGATTAAAATATAGTGACATATGTAGCTTGTTTGTTTAGTGTTCATGAAACATCTACAGGTCATATTTCACCCCAAAATCAGAAGTTTTTCTGAATTGTGACAAATAAGTCTCATTACTCTAATGTTTGGATGTTTTGCTGCTCAGTATTCTCAAAGGTCATTCTCATTAGATTTTTTCCAACACTTACCAATAAGGTTCAATTTGTTAATGTTAGTTAATGCATTTGGTCTCATGAACAATATTTTTTTAATGTTTATTAATCTAGGTTAATGTTAATTTATAATCATATTGTTATTCACTGGTAATTCATAATACATTAATGTTAAATTATGCAACTTAAAATAATAAAAAAAATGTATATGGAAATTAACCAAGATTAATAAACGTATAAATATATTGTTCTTTTTTTTTTTTAAACAAACAAAGGTAGTACAACAAATATTACCATGCTGTGTAAATATTTTAAATTATCATTAAAATGTCATAATGCAAAAACAAAAATATATAAATAACATGTCCTAAAAATATGCTGTATTTCCCTTGTAACAAAATATTAACTTCTTTTCTTTCGATTTTGGGGTTAAGTATGACCTGGACATCGCTGCTCTAAAAATTCTCCATGTTTTAGGCACATTATTCTAAATCCATTACAGCATCTGGGGGAAACTGGACATCTCACAAGAAAACATCCTCAAACAAGCACAACGTACATTTCATTCTAGGAAACATTTACATTAAAAAAAGATTTTAAAGAGTGCAGCACACAGGTTTTACACTGGTCCATCTAATGTAGACACAGACACTCAGTCCAGTGTCTGTCTCCAAAGTTCCCACAAAGCTTTGCTGCAGTTTTTAGCTGGAGTGAACAGCGCTGTGCACCACAGGAAGCATTATATAACAAAAACACAATCTAGTAATGTTTTAAAAGTGCTTTAGCGTTCAGTACCTTCAGTGAATACATTCTCTCACACACACAAATCTACAAAGTAAATCACATATGACAAGGTGGAGACTGCAACACAAACACACAATAAACCTTCGAGAGACTATCTGACCTCGCTGAGGTTATAGAGCGAGAGAGATGGAGAAAACGCTTTAGCTGTCTTCAGGATAAAGCCAAGCCATCTGGAAAATCCATCCGAAGCAAAATCCATTCCAGATTTTGTCCTTTTAATATAACAAAAGCACAGTTCCTTTCTCCCCTTTTTGCTGGTTTGTTCTCCCACAAGTGTGCTGGCTGCTGAAGTGTGTGGATACAGCTTTGCAGAATGACACAAAACCACCCGAAAAACTCACTAGTTACAGAATTAGATCAGTTTTAAAGATTCAGTTCATTAGTCATTTCTCTATAAACACTGGAGGGTTTTAACATACGTAGTCCAAAAAAATATGCCCTGTTGCTAAGACTGCATCAAGTCTTTCATAAAAGAACAATCGAATGTCACTGAAATAAAAAAACACAAGACACAAACTGTGAGAAAGCAGATATTTAAAATAAAAACATCAGGCAGCACTGAGTGTAAAGGCAGCCGTAGCGTAGAGGAGTGACGATGTGAGGCT